GGTAGTTATAGAACGTTCCACCCAACAATAGGATATACATTTCTTTAAAGTTCACAGAACATTCATTAAAGATAGACCATATTCTGGGACATAAAATGAATCTCAATGAATTTAAAAGGATTGAAATCATACAAGTATGTTCTTTGAACACAACAGAATTAAGAAATTGATAACAGAAAGCTATCTGAATTATCCTCACATAACTGGAAATTGAACACCTCACTTCTACATAAACTATAGATCACCAAAGTAATCAAAAGGATCATTAGAAAATATTTTCAACTGAAATAAAATAAAAACATAACATACCAAATTTTGGGGGATGAAGCTAAGGCAGTGGTTGTAGGGAAATTTATAGCATTAATTATTTCTATTAAAAAAGAAGAAAGGTCTCAAGTCAATGATCTGAGTTTCTTCTTCTAATAAACTAGAAAAAGAAAAGCTAATTCGACTCAAGGCAGAATGAAACTATATAAATAAGAGCTAAGATCAGTAAAATTGGAAATAGAAAACAATAGAGAAAAATGACTGAAATCAAAAGCTATCTCTTTGAAAAGATAAATAAAAATAATGAAAACTACAGATAGTAAAAGAATAATAATGGATTATTATGAACAACTTAATATCGATAAACTTGACAACTTGGGTGAAATGGACACATACCCTGAAATACAGAAGCCACTAAATCTCACTAAAGAAGAAATAGATAACCAGAATAGCTCGATATCTTTTAAAGGAATTTAATTTATACTTAAAAACCCTCCTCAAAAGAAAACTCCAGGCCCATGGTAGCTTTACTGGTAAATTCTAACATTCAAGGAAGAAATAATAGCAATTCTGCACAAACTCTTACAGAAATAAAAGAGAAAGGAACACTTATCAACTCATTTTATGAAGTCACTATTACTCTGGTAACCAAATCAGACAAATATATTACAAGAAAGAAAACTTTAGAACAACATCTTCTCATAAATGAATTCAGCAATATTAAAAAGGATGATACATAATATATTTTAAAAAGATAATGTATTGTGACCAAGTAGGATTTATCCTAGAAATGCAAGGTTGTTTCTACATTAAAAAATCAATGTAGTTTCTCATATCAAAAGAATAAAGGGGAAAAATCATATGGATCATCTCCATACTACAGGAAAAGCATTTAACAAAATTCAGTACCCATTAGTGATAAAACTCTCAGAGCAAATTATTCTCAGGAAAAGAAGGGCACTTCCTCAAAGTTGTGAAATACATCTACGGAACAATCTACAGCTTATATTATATGCAATGGTGAACAAATGAGTGCTTTTGCATAAAATCATTAATATGGCAAGGGCATCCACTCTCACCATTCTGTTCAACATTGTATTGGAGGTCCTACCCAGAGCAATAAGGGGGAAAAAAAGTACACAGATTGGAATGGAAGACATAAAAATATCTTTAATCATAGTTATGTCTGTATAGAAAAATTCTAATATTCTAAAACAAATCTATTAGAAGTAATAAATGAGTTCAGCCGTTTCAAGATATAAGGTTAATATAGAAACATCAATCGTGCAACTTTAAATTAGCAATGGATAATTAGAAATACCTAGAGATCAACTTAACAAAATATGTACAAGACCTGTACATTGAAAACTACAAACCATCACCAAAAGAAATTAAAAGAGACATATGAATGGAGAGAGATGTCTTTGTTTATGGTTCAAATCTATAGTTGTCAATTTTCCCCAAGTTGATCAACAGGTTTAATATAATCATATTCAAAATCCCAATAGTTCTCTTGTTTCAGAAATTGGAAAATTGATTTTAAACTTTTTATGGAAATGCAAAGTACCTAGAATAGCTGAAACAAATTTGAAAATATGAACCAAGATGGATTCATACGACCTGATTTCAAAACTTACTGTGAAACTACAGTGTCACAAAAGTTAACAGATAAACGAGACAGAATAGTTAGTTCAAGAAAAAAAAAAAAAAGACCAACAAATATATGGTTAAATTTATCTTTGACAAAGGTGCCTAGGTATTTCAATGGGGATAGGATCATCTTTTCAACACATTATGCTGGAGCAATGGAATATTTGCATGCAAAACTCTTATCTCACACTATACACAAAAATTAACTCAGAATGAATTGTAAACCTAAATGTAACATGTAAAATTATGAAACTTCTAGATGAAAATAGGGGGAAAAAAGCTTTGTGACTTGAGTTAGGCAAATATTTCTTACACCTAACCCACATAAGCACAAACCGAAAAATTAAAAAAAAAAAAAGATTAATTAAATTTCAAAATTAAATCTTTTGTCCTTCAGAAAACACTGTTAGGAAAATAAAAAGGTAAATCATAGATTGGAAGAAAACTTTGCAAAACATATAAATGATAAAGGGCTTGTAGATAGATTATATAAGAACTTTTTCAACTTAAGAAAACATAAAAAATGGAGAAAAGATTTGAAACAAAGGCTTTACCATAGAAGATATATAAATGTCAAATACACTCATGAAAAGATGCTTGGCATCACTATTCATTAAGGAAATGCAAATCAGAACTATGAGGAGATACCTGTACAGAGCCTCTTAAATTGCTGAAATTAAAAACATAAACAAAAACAAAACAAAGAAAGCATTACTGAATGTTGCCAAGGATATGGAGCATCTGAGAGAGCAAAATTTTACAGCCACTATAGGAGATAGTTTGGCAGTTTGTTATTAAATTAAAGATATAATTACACATAGTCCACAACCCCACTCTTAGGTATTTACTTAAGAGAAATGAAAATATATGTTCATACAATGATTTATAATAAAATATTTATAGATGCTTTATCAGAGTAGCCCCAAACTGGAAACAATCCAAATGTCCATCAACAAGTTAATGGATAAATAAATTGTGGTATATCTACATAATGAATACAGCAAATAAAAAGGAACTACTAAAAAATGCAACAACATGAATAAACCTCCAAAGCATTATGCTAAATGAAGGAATCCAAATACAAAATACTTTATCCTGTAAGATTCTATTTATGTGAAATTATAAGAAAAGCAAAACTACAGTGACAGAATGTGGATCAGAAGTTGCCAGGGTAAGGTGTAGGATGAAGTGATTGATTTCAAAAGGCCACAAGGGAGTATTTTGTGTTGATGGTCTATATCATGATTATGGTCACAGTGACAAAATTATGTAAGTTTCTCAAGTCTCATTAAATTGTACACTTAAAATTGACAAATTTTATTTTATGTAAATAAGGTCAATATAGCTGGTAGATACAAATTTATACATTTTAATTTATACATTTTCTTTTGTTTTCTGGCCTCATTGACTAACACTTTCAGAATTACAGTAAATAACAGTGGTAATAGAATAATTTTAGGCTTTTTCCTGATTTCATGGCTGGCATATCTGTTTTTCACCATTAGGTATGATGATGGACTATTGTTTTGGAATAAAACATCCTTACCGTGTGTAGTAAGTATCCTATATTCCTGTTTTAAGAGTTTTCACCATGGAACATCTGCAAGCATCTATCTATATGATCACATGGATTTTTAAATTTCAGTTTTTGGATAGGACGAATTCTATTAATAGATTTTCTAATATTGAATCATCTATGCAATGCTAGTCTAAAATATGCTTGTTTTTTGTGTATTATTTATTACATGTGGGATTTTTGCCTCTATTTCAAAAGTGAGATTAATTCCTTATTTTCTTTTTTGTGCTATCTTTATTAAATTCTGTTTAGGGTTATAGTTAGTTTATAAAATGAATTGGAAAGTTTTCCTTATTATTATATGCTTTGAAATATTTAGTAAGATTGCATAAATTCCTTGGGTATTTTAATATAACGGGCTTTTGAAACTACCTGGGTCATATGCCTTTTGTGGGTACTTCTCTAGTTCTCCCAGGATTATTGGTTAGTTTTGTTCATTTCTATTTCCTTAAGAAATTATTAGGAATGTTTTTTTAACCAAGATCTTCTGCTTTAGAAAAACAGAGTTAAATAGATTTAAACCTGTTATTCTGTTATAATTTTAAATTGCTCCGCATGGTTGTTCTATTGTTTGCGTTTTCTCTTTTATATTAAATTAAGCTTACCAGAGTGCAACTACTTCATTGCTTTTTTTTTTTCTTTTTCCAAAGAGGCAGCTACTAGATTTGCCATTTTCTGTAATTTATTCTTAGGTTTTAGTTTATTTTGTTGCTCTTTTTCTAATTTCCGGTTTTTAATTCTTAAATTCATTTGTATTCATTGTTTTTATTTTTATAAGACATTTACAATTGTGTCTTAAAAAAAGGCTTTGGTTATATTTTATATGTTTTAATATATAATGCTTTTCTAAAAAAATGCTCTCTTAAAGTGTGTAATTATTGTTTTGATATCCTCAACAACTGACTGTACTTTAGGCAGTTGGGAGCTAGCAAAGATTTTGAGCAAGGAAATGATATGATCAGATCTATAAAGAAATACTTGACAGCACTGTGGAGAATGGATCACAATAAAGTGACATTTATGATGAGGTTTGAGAGGTATTGCAAGAGTTTACCTAAGAGACGACTGTGATGTGAGCCAAAGTCACACTGCGGACGGTTGAGGAGTTAAAGGAAGAGAAGATGAGGAAGCAGTGAGAGTGACCGCAAACTTAACCAGACAGGCAGGGTCAGCTACGTCTGAGGGTACAGCACCGGATAAAATAATCATCAGGTAAACAAGAGCTGAGGGGGCTGTGAGATTCAGAAATGGAGCCTTGAAAACTTCCTGGCACGAAGACCACAGCACAGCCACAATTACCGTTTAACAGGCACCTTTGAGACAACGGACGTGGCCCGAAGGGAGTTTTGAGGGTGTCAGCCCAGCAGAGTTGGTGATTCTAGACTGCAGTCAGCCCCTCTTATCCGTGGTTTTGCTTTGCGCAGTTTTCACTTGCCAAGGTCAGTCACGCAGTCCTCACGTCGATGATCTTCTGACGTAAGGTCGTAAGGTCAGAGGTCAGCGGTAGCCTAACTCTGTGTCACCACGCGTCCGGTATTCGTGTCACTTCATCTCCTCAGGGCGGTATTTTATAATCTCACATGGTCCCAAGAAGTAAGGTGAGTACATATAATAAGCTATTTTGAGAGAAGAGAGACCACTTTCACATAACTTTTTTTTTTAAAGATTTTATTTATTTATTTGAGAGAGAATGAGATAGAGCATGAGAGGGGGAGGGTCAGAGGGAGAAGCAGACTCCCCGCCGAGCAGGGAGCCCGATGCGGGACTCGATCCCAGGACTCCAGGATCATGACCCGAGCCGAAGGCAGTCGCTTAACCAACTGAGCCACCCAGGCGCCCCTCACATAACTTTTTTTATAGTACATTGCTATAATTGTTCTGTTTTATTTTTGTTGTTGTTAATCTCTTACTATGCCTAATTTATAAATTAAACTTTATCGTAGGTGTGTACATATAGGAAAAAACAGAGTATATACATCAGGTTCAGTTCGATCAGTGGTTTCAGGCATCTGCCGGGGGTCTTGGAATGAATCCCCTGTCAATAAGGGGGGACTATTGAATAGAGAAAGAAGAGAGGCGCTATAGGGAAGGGATGAAGTTGCACTGAGGTAGAATTGTTCTGTGAATCATTTGACATGGGCATGTTTGTATTGGTTGAGGAAAGAGTCAGTGATGAGGGAAGTTCTATTTGGAATCAAATAATGACAGGATGCCTTAAATCCCTGAGCTCCTGGTCCATCATCTATAGGCAAATCTCTTTTTCATCTGGACTTTTCCATATTCTCGACTATACACCGCATTTTCTTCATTAAACCATTGTTCTGCCATAGCTGGCCTTCAGGTTTCAAAAATACTACAGGAAAACTTGTGGTGCTATAAATTCTGTAATTTGAAATGGACACATCTCAAAGATTCACCACACATAGTTTTAGACCAATATTTATTTTATAAATATTCATTTCTATTAATTTATCTCTGAGCATGTTACAGAAAACGTGTGCTTCTTCCTTGTATAAATAAAATACTGCTTTCTCTTCTTTGCCTCATTCTTGACCAATGTATTAATTTCTCTACCATTTTATATTTTCTTTAATAGTAGCAACCTATTTAAAATATTTAATTCCTAAAAAAATAGACATCTGTAATGAAAAAAATAAGCAAAACCAGGGCATTAAGATAGTACATGTCCTCCCAGGCTCTGCCCTGCCCAGCATCACCCAGCTCAGGACGCACAGGCAAACATTGCTAATACCTTGCTGTATAGCCTTCTAATGCATTTTCAGTGCATATGCAAGCCTAAATGAATTGTTTTTTCCAAACTTGTATTATAATTACATACAAGTTTATAACTTCCTTTTTTTTTTTTTAAAGATTTTATTTATTTGAGAGAGAGAGAATGAGAGAGAACACATGAGAAGGGATAGGGTCAGAGGGCGAAGCAGACTCCCTGCCGAGCAGGGAGCCCGATGCAGGACTCGATCCAGGGACTCCAGGATCATGACCTGAGCCGAAGGCAGTCGCTTAACCAACTGAG